GAGGGATTAAATCTGAGAAACGAAGTAATTACTAAACCCTATTTACATTTCCGTTATAGATTATTGTGTATTTGTCTTCTTGATTAGGGTTTCTAATTTTTATGATTATGTGGACTGTGATACTTGTAAATCCGTTGAGAAGTTCCGGATTGCATGTCACTAGTCCTTTGAGTTTGAATTTGTGAATTGTGTGATTAGGGTTTCTAATTTGTAACGTAAATATGTGGACTCACTGGACTATGATACTTGTAAATCCGTTGAGAAGTTCCGGATTGCATGTCAGTAGTTCTTTGAGTGTGAATTTGTGAGTTTGATTAGGGTTTCTAATTTGTAACCTAATCTGTGGACTCACTGGACTATGATACTTGTAAATCCGTTGAGAAGTTCCGGATTGCATGTCAGTAGTTCTTTGAGTATGAATTTGTGAATTGTTTGATTAGGGTTTCTAATTTGTAACCTAATCTGTGGTGGAAGCCATACTACCCTAGCCCCTTGCCAGTTGCCACTGTGTGTTAAATACTGAAATCCATATAAATGTTAAGCATGATGGTATTTGTGTGGAAGCCATATATAAATGTGGGAGTGTGTCCACTGTCTTGTACTCATGTGTGACTGAAATCCATATAAATGTGGGAGTGTGTGACTAAAATCCATATAAATGATGAGCATATAAAGTAGCATACACCTACTTAGCTTGAATGCCTGATTATGGATTTCATTGTAAATTGTAATTTGTAAGTTGTTAGTTACTTAGTTGTAAGTTGTAACTGTGAAAATGTGAAATTGTAAGTTTATGGATATGTGACCCTTAAATCATTTATGTGCAATTCTGCATACATGATGAAATGTTCAATTCACTGAATTCTGCCTGTTTAACACTTTAATTGATACATGTGTGTATGTGACAAAGGCCATTCTCTGTTGATGATTTTGAATGAGTGATTTCCCATTCTGTGTCACTGATACTTTCCCCTTTTTAGATGGAAAGTGTTAGTGGTGTAGAGACTGTTACTGGTGTATCTGGAACACAACCTGAGTTGGAAGCACCTGCTGTAGAGACTGTTACTCCTCAGTCTCAGCAGCCTTTGCCTCCACCTGTTCCAAAGAAAAGGAAAGAGGTTGAATCCAGGGCTCCATGTTGGGATCACTTTGAAAAGATCAAAGATAGTGAGGGCATTGTCATCAAAGGAAAATGTATATATTGTGCAAAAGTGTATTGCTGTGAGAGCAAGAAACATGAGACTTCTTCTCTCAGACTTCATGTGGTAAACTGCCTTAAAAATCCTCACTCTAAGGAGACAAGGCAGTCCCTACTCACATTCCAACCTGCACCTTCTTCTGCTGGAACTCAAAGTAGTGAAGGAACTGAAGGGGTGTTGGGTACTTGGGTGTTTGATCAAGACTTGATAAGGAGAGCCTTAGCTGAGATGATTATTTTAGATGAACTTCCTTTTAGGATTGTTGAGGGACAGGGTTTTAGAAAGTTTGTTTTAGTTTGTTGTCCTAGGTTTAAAATCCCTTCAAGATGGACTATCAGTAGGGACATTTTCAAGATATTTTCTGATGAGAGGGTCAACTTGAAGAAGTTTTTTAGGACTTGCAGTCAGAGGGTAAGTATCACAACTGATACTTGGACCTCAGTCCAGAGAATAAACTACATGTGCATAACTGCACATTTCATTGATAGTGAGTGGAAGCTGCAAAAAAAGATTATTTCATTTGTTCCTATATATTCCCACAAGGGGGAAAGTATTGCAAAGGCTTTAGAGAGTTACCTTTTGGACTGGGGTCTAAAATCAGTGTTTAGTGTGACAGTAGATAATGCTTCCAGCAATGATACTGCCCTAGGATTCTTGAAGAAGAAGTTGGGCTCTTGGGGTTGTACTGCTGTTAGGTGTAAGTATTTGCACATGAGGTGCATTGCTCACATTCTTAACTTGGTGGTACAGGATGGGTTGAAAGAATGTGACAGTTCTGTTAAGAAAGTCAGGGATGCTGTTAGGTATGTGAGGAGCTCACCTGCTAGGTTGCAGAAGTTTAAATCACTAGCTGATCTAATTGGGGTGGAAGCTAAGAATTCTCTGTGTCTAGATGTCCCTACAAGGTGGAATTCCACATATATGATGCTTAATACTGCATTACTGTTTCAGAAGGTATTTGAAGCCTATGATGATCATGACAGTTCATTTAAATCTGATTTGGGTGGAAGTGTACCTGATTTCTTAGATTGGGAATCAATTCAATCTTTGGTTATGATTCTAAAATCTTTTTATGAAATGACTGTTAGGATTTCTGGATCATTGTATGTGACTTCTAATACATTCTTCTCTGAGATTTCTGATTTGTCTTGCTTGTTGAAAAATATGGAGGAAGCTACAGAAGATAGTGTTAAACTAATGGGTAAAAATATGAGGGCAAAATTTGATAAGTATTGGGGTGAGCCTGAAAAAATGAATTTTTTGATATTCTATGCAAATATCTTAGACCCCAGGGACAAAATTGAGTATATGCCCATTCAGTTTAACCAGTTATATGGTGAGGACAAGGGTAAAACAATGTTTGATAAGGTGATTGTTGGCCTTAAGGAGTTGTTTGAAGATTATGTTGCATGCTTCCCTGTCTAGTGTGTTGAACAATCTGAAAAATTTTCTCCCTCAATAACAATATCTGATTCAGTTTCTGTTGGGAGACCTCAATCATTACTAAAATCTCATATTAAGAAGCAAAAATTGGTGAGTGGGGATTTGTCTAGGAAAAAAACTGAGTTGGAAGTGTATCTCTCTGAGGTTATTGTGGATGAGGATGATTCATTTGACCTTCTAAGATGGTGGAAGCAACAATCTGAAAGGTTCCCTGTCTTATCTAAAATGGCAAGGGATATTCTAGCTGTTCCAATATCAACTGTTGCTTCTGAATCAGCATTCAGTACAAGTGGAAGGGTACTTGATGCCTTTAGGAGTTCCCTAACTCCTAGAATTATTGAGGCATTGGTGTGTGCATAGGATTGGCTAAGGTTAAGCAACCAACCAATCTCAATTGAAGAAAATATTGAAGATGTTGAAAGGATTGAGAAAGGTATATACTTCTAACTTCCAGCAATGATCTGTTTAATTGTTTAAGTTTTAATTTCCATTTTGTTTTTGTACTGCAGAGTTGTGCTGGTGCTGCACATCCAGCACTAGAACTGGAATGCCTACAATTGTTGTATGTTTACTTATTTACTTATTTGATTTGTGATTACTTATTTACTTATTTGATTTCATGATAAATTTATGCCTCATTGCCTCTGTATCAGTGTATCATGTATGTGTATCAATGATCCAAATCAATGTCCCTCGTGAGGCTGGGAAGTTGGAACTGGAAACTGGAAAGTGCTCATGGCTAGGTAACATTTTAAATGTTGCTGCCATTGAGCTCAGGTATCAGTATAAGTACTGACTAAATGTCTAAATGTGACTTCTGACTTCTGACTCACTATACTTATAAGTTATACCTGTATAAATGTTCATTATTGTGCTATGATGATGCTTCCACCATGTTCTCTGAATATATAGAATTGGGTTTGGTATGTTGCCTTTGAAGTGTGGTGTTTATGCCATACTCATTGAGTAGTGTGCCCCCAATCCTAACTTGATATGGAAAAAAAAACTATCTGAGCACTCTTTTAGTCTTTTACAGTTTCAGTTTGTGTGATTGTGTTATTTGTGTCAATTCTAACTAACTACAAATGTTTTGAACTTATTGTGTTTTTATGTGTTCACTTATCAGGAAGAAGAATAGACATAGAGTACTCTATATTATATTAATCATATATTCATATATTGCTTTTGGAGTTTTGGATATCTGGCTTTCTTTTGCTCAATGCCTGAAACATGAAAGCTGAATGCCTGTATAAATGTTCATTATTGTGCTATGATGATGCTTCCACCATGTTCTCTGAATATATAGAATTGGGTTTGGTATGTTGCCTTTGAAGTGTGGTGTTTATGCCATACTCATTGAGTAGTGTGCCCCCAATCCTAACTTGATATGGAAAAAAAAACTATCTGAGCACTCTTTTAGTCTTTTACAGTTTCAGTTTGTGTGATTGTGTTATTTGTGTCAATTCTAACTAACTACAAATGTTTTGAACTTATTGTGTTTTTATGTGTTCACTTATCAGGAAGAAGAATAGACATAGAGTACTCTATATTATATTAATCATATATTCATATATTGCTTTTGGAGTTTTGGATATCTGGCTTTCTTTTGCTCAATGCCTGAAACATGAAAGCTGAATGCTGATGTGCTGATGGGAGAGTTGGAGACTGATGCAGTGATGCTGTTGGAACTTGCCTGCTTGCTATGAACAATTAAAATTCTCATTACAAGTTTTAATTTTGTAACTTGTAACTTGTAAGCTAATCTGCTGATTATATGTAAGCTAATTTGTATAAGTTTACTTATGTTATTTACTTATTTTTGCTGTTAAGTAGTTAGTAATTACTAGTTAGTGGCTTTTAGTACTTAAGTAGTTCATTAGTTAGGTACTTAGCCACTTAGGTGTTCCATTTAAATCCATGAATAGAATATTTGATTTTAAGTTTTTTTCATTCTGATAAATCCGAATTACAACACGGATATCCAACCGATCCGAACCAATCCGAAAATAAAAATAACCGATCGGATTAGTCAACAAAAATAAACGATTAAGGTGGTCAAAATGGAAATCCAAAATCCGACCGGGGGTCTCATTCCGCAATCCGATCCGTCGGATCCGTCCGACTGCAGGCCTAGTAGTATTTATGATGATGAGCAAGTAGATACTCATTGATTTTGAAACAATTACTGGGAATGCAAATATTAAACCAGGAATCATGGAAAATCACCCATCTTTTCTATTCATGAATCTATTCTATTGATTTACAGAATAATTACTACTAGGTATCGCCTCGGGCCCCGCGAGATTTTGCACCAATCCTTTGCTATCTCCCTCTTTCCGTCTTTCCCTCCACCTTTAAAGCCTCACTGCTTCTTCTTCTTCTTCTTCCCCATCTCTCCCTCTCTCTCTCTCTCCCCATCAGCAATGGCTTCAAACACAGCAGCACCAGCAGACCATCAAGAACCACTCAAACACAAGGTTACCCACCCTACCTCACTTCCAATTTCTTGTTTCTTTTCCCATTAATTTCAATTCTCTTAATTATTATTTTTTTCTACTTTGATTTACAGATGTGGGTCTTGAAAGTTTCTATTCACTGTGAAGGCTGCAAACAGAAAGTCAAGAAAATTCTTCAGCAAGTCCCAGGTATATAAAACATTATAGCGGAGAAGTTCTGAAAGTTTATTTTCATGTTGAGTATAAAATTTAATCTGTTTGGTTTTCAGGTGTGTCTGGTATAGATATTGACATAAGACAGCAAAGGGTTGTGGTAACCGGCGACGTTCATGCCGATACTCTGATAAAAAAGCTGGTTAAGTCCGGTAAAAATGCGGAGCTATGGCCGCAGATGGTTGCGCCGAGGGAGGGGATTCCGGCCGCCGTCGCCGTTAAGAAAGCCAAAGAAATGAAACCCGAAAGTAAACAAGAGGATAGTTGTACGTCCGGCCACGGCAAACCACCGGGGAAAGTAGCAGTGGTGATTCAAGAGCCTCCGGCTAAGAAAACTGAAGGTGGTAGTGAGGAAACCGCTAGTGGCGGCGGTGTGGCTAAAGACGAAGGAAACAGTGTCGCCGGCGCCGGCGAGTCTAAGGGAAAGAGTGTTGAAAATTTACAAGGAGCAAAAGAGTTAAAATCGGAGGGGAAGAAACCTGAAACAGGAGAGAATAGTTCTCAAACACCTGCCACGCCGGAGAAAAAGGACGGCGAAGCCGGCGGTAACGTCGCCGGTGAAGACAATGGCAGTACCGGTAAAATAAAGAAAAAGAAAGGGCAAAATGGGAATTTCAATTCCGACGAGAAAGTCTCATCAAGTGCTGGTGGACCAGCAGGTACGGGATCACACCATCATGAACCGGCCCCACACGCGGCTTCTACTTCCACCAATCACATCCCTCCACATCATCATCCATATGGCCCACAATACTACGGGCCCACACCCGTATACGCCGTGAGCTACAATACGGCCTACCCAACAAGTAGCAGTACAACGTCGTACTACGCAACACCGCCCTCGAATTCGTATGCTTATACGTATCCCGGGCCCACCATGCAACCGCCACCGTCCGATTTGGTGCATCCACAACAGCCGTCGGATTCATTTGAACTATTCAGTGATGAGAACCCTAATGGGTGCTCAATTATGTAATAATTTTATTTGTATCCTTTTGAAGGGTTGCTTCGCTTATACCACTCGTATAAGGTTGTGAGGGCTAATTTTGGAAATTGTATAGATGTATGAAAGTGAGATTAGGGATCAGAATTAGAAGGAAACCCCATGGAAAAGCAAACAACCAAGCAAAATGTCGAATTTAACCCCTCATGTTCTGAGAATCATGTCCACGGAAGTGAACACGTGTCAAGTCTTAATTGGATGAGATGTTTGGTGTTCAATCAGTTCAAAAGAGAGGTTTTGGGGTTTTCTTTATAATAGTTGCTTTTGTACAATGTAGCCTTAGTTGGTAAGTTTAGTAGTCATTTTGGCTTCTTTTGCTGTAAAAGTTGTTAGCCTTAGTTGGTAATGCATAGTTCTATCTCTCTCATACTTTACTTTAACTTTAGTTTTTAAGTTTTAGTGAGGTTGAGTGTCTCCCGTGCAGTTGTGCAGGTGATTAATGTGCGTGAGTCTTGTGTTTAAGGTGTGTGAGGTTTGTGCTTAATGTGCGTGAGTGTGTACTGAGTTTTGTGTTTAGTGTGCGTGGGTCTTGTACTTAAGGTGCGTGAGTCCTGTGCTTAATGTGCGTGAGTGTGTACTTAATGTGAGTTGTTGTTGAAACTTTAAGGTGCATGAGTTTTGTACTTAATGTGTGTGAGTGTGTACTTGATGTGAGTTGTTGTTGAAACTTAAGGTGCGTGTGTTTTTCTGCTTATGGTGTGTGCGGCTTATGCTTAACATACGTGAGGTTTGTGCTTAACGTGCGTGGGTTTGTGTTCTGAAAGTGTTTTGTTTGTGTGCTTAATGTGCGTGTATTGTGTACTTAAAGTGCGTCAGTTAATGCTTAATGTGCGTCCAACTGCACAACCGCACAAGAAGCCCCTCCCGCACATGATCCCTTCCCTATATATATATATATATATATATATATATATATATAATTCTTCAATTTGTTAGTGCACTTTAATTCTCATATTGATATCAAGTTGGTATTGAAAAGTTTAATGAAAATTTTACTGATTAGAACCTTTTTTTTATTTATTAAATTCAAGTTGTTCTAATAGCCATTGACATCGTTTAATTTGTTCACTATAATTTGTTGTAGCTTACTCATTTTGGGATCAATAGTGAATGCATTAACTTTTTTTTTTTTTTTTTTTTTTTTTTTTTACAATATAAGCCATGAAAAGAGAGAAATAATTCTCCAAAAGTGTCAACAATATGTTAGGGAGTATTAAGTATTAACAAATTAACACTCACTTGAAAAAACCTTGCGGGGTGTGGTTGAGTAGAACAGACACATATATTATTGACAAAATGTTAAGAGTTCAATCCTTGACTTTAGGTATGGAGCAAATTTAAATCACCATGCCAGCTGTCCCACATAATAGAGGTGCTTACAATTCATCGAGAGAATTAGTTAATGTGTCCGACGGAAGAAATCTTGAACTACACAAAAGAAAAAAAAACACTTAGAAAAGTAATGACCCAAAACTTATTGAGATGTTTGGTCACTTTCAATTCATGGTCACCATAATATGTATAAAGGCAGATTTGCCAATTTGGCATTCTTAGATTTTTGTAGGCCAGAGCAACTAAAATTTCTCGAGTGTTAAAACTCACCAAGGTAAAACTCTAACTTTAGAAATGTAAAAAAAGAAAAAAGAAAAAAGAAAAAAGAAAAAAAAGGAAGTAATAGTGTATTGTTGGTGTGTGTGTGAGGTGTAAAGTGGGTGTGATGATGGTTGAATAGGGAGATTGAAATTACAAGGTGGTGAGGGGTGAGGGGTCCTTGTTTTTGGAGTCTCTCTTGGAAAGCAAATGCCTTTCATTAAAAGTCTCAAATGCTTTGAGTTGAGGTTTTGATGACAAATGCTTTGTCTTTTGCTTTTGTTTCTTATCTTAATTATGACTTCAACCACTTTATTTCTGTCCTACTGCCTTAGTTTATCCTTTTATTATTATTATTTTTTAATTCTTACGGAGTATTTGTGTACCTTATTTAAAAATAAAAAAAAAAAAGAAGAAGAAGATGTTTTCCAATATATAAATGTTAATTGTCACATTGTAAAATGACTTTTTATTCTTTATATTAGTAGTTAAGTTTATCTTCAGAAAAGGGTATCATTTGTTTTAATTGGGGTTTGTACTTAAGTAGAAATAAGGGTAGCTATGACTTAATGACACCTTATTTAATTGAGACCTTCTTATCAATTTTATTCTTCTTCTTATATTAAATACTGCCTACTAAATCACTGGGTTAAGCTCTAAGTCCATTTTCAATATGATGAAACATTGATATTCAACTTTCGTATCTTATTTGGAAGATTAAATATATGAATATATTAGTCGATAAATATATAGGAGATAAAACATAAACACAGGATTATTCAACGATCGTACCATCTTCCTAGGCAATAAATGTGTTTATCATTGCATTTAGCAGTGTGAGATTTGAATTCCACTGGAAGCATGTATGAAAAAAAAAATAATTTGAAGATGATAGAAGGTTTGTGTTAGATTCCTTGTATGCACATAAAGATTAAGATTTGACTGATGGACAAATTACTGCCAGAGAGATTATTTGTCAAAGTTATAAAATAATAATACCTCCCTCCCTCTTCGTCTCCGAGGTCTTCTATACAAGAATGGAATCTCCATCAATTACTTCTTAATAACCCATCATGTACCATATGCACATGCTAACTACAAAGTGTTTGGTAGTAAATGTTAGAACTTTATGAATTCTTTAATTAATCCATAAAAGCAAGTTTTTCTTTGTTTTATTATATTTCTTGGTTTCGTCTTATCCCTTGGATGGGAGTCGAAGCTCACATTTATAAAATATTAGGTTTTGTTCAACCCTATGTACGGACCATGGAGTAATATATAGCATTAAACATCGTCGTCTATCACTTGTTATTTACGTCAATGCATGCTGAGAATATTTTCATCCTCATGTGTGATGGAGTTGAAATATATATACTCGCTTATTATTAATAGATTATTATCAGTTCTATATAATGATTGATTTTATTTATTATTTAAAAAAAAAATCCAAACCCTAAACATACGTAAGTTTACGGACTATACATTGCCTTCAATTTTTAGTAAGGGTGGACAATTCAATTTAGTTTTCCAAACTAAATCGAATCGTATCGAACTAGTTTGATTTGGTAATATACCGAACAACTAAATGGAAATGGATTCTTATATATCAAACGGTTCGATAAAAAATTGAAATATACCGAAAAAGTCGAACCAGAGTATTAGGTTTTTAATAAAATAATAATAATAATAATAATAATAATAATAATAATAATAATAATAAAGAAGTAAATCTAAGTCTCTTGATGCATGCTTTGTCGTTCAGCTCATATTCTCACTGGTATCTCTCTTAAATATGAATTTTTTTTATGGGTTGTTCCCTACTTTGCACGTTTGTTGTTCGTCGCAATTATTTTTTCCCTCACATTATCTCTAATTTAATTTGAGTTATTCTTACAATATTCGATATTTTCCTTAGTTTCATGTTTATATGCAATTCATGTGCTTCAACGTCATAATTTTGATTTGCAGGGCACTCAAAAATAATATTCCAGTGAACTGGAAATATATTTTGTCAAGCAATGACGGATTGTGTCCAAAAATTAAATATACAGTATTTAACACTTGTTCTCCAAATATTAATTATACAGATGAATGATTCTTCATCTTATCAACAAAACATTTCAAGTGGACTAACAGAAGAGTTGGGCAAAAAAATCAACTCATATTTGGTAATTAATTAGTACTTAGTAGTGTGTTTGAACTTTGGATTGCTATTTTGTTATATAATGTTTAGATTTTGAATTTGGACTATGTGAATATGTATTGTTTGGTGGTGTGTGTTTGAAAATTTAAAAAATGTTAAAAATTGGAGTTATTAAACCCAACCAAACTATAATGTTAAACCGAATTATATCATTTTATCAAATTTTTAATACCAAAATACCAAAACTGAAACTGAAAAACCCATCCGAATCTCAAAACGTCCCCCTAAATTTTTGGGAATATATATATATATATATATATATATATATATATATATATATATATATATATATATATATATATATATGCTCAAATGCAGTTAGATCTTAACGTGCGCTCGCACCATTAAGTATGCAAATACGCACTAATAGTGTTAGAAAACGCACAACAAAAAATTGTATCAATGCACCAAAACACACAATTAAGTGTGGAGAAGTATGATGTATTTTTTTGAGTGTGGTGCATTTTGTGGTACATTGATATATTCATTGTTGTGCATTTTTTGATACTAATTATGCGTTTTTGCTACCTAGTGGTGCAACAACACGTTAAGTCTTGACCGTACTAGAACTTTGCCCCACACACACATATATATATATATATATATATATATATATATATATATATATATATATTTGGTGTTGATCCAAAGCAGAGTTTCTTTGTGTTTGCGTGCTGCCGTCTGCGTAGCCTTCACATCTTTCAATAACCAACCACCCACCTTTGTTTTCATCTGTAGCGAGTAGCGTTCACTCGGAACTCGTAAATGCTAATACACCTAATTTGAATCGTATTTGACCGTTTAGACTGCTGTCACCTGTCCAAACTGTTAAAGGAAAGGCGCCGTAGAAGATACAACTTTGACTATATGTACCACACTACCACCCCATTGGTAAATGTATCCTCCAATTATTATTTTTAAAAAAAAAGGAAAAAATATTATTTTAAAGATTACATAAATCTAAATTTAGTAATGTCAATGACTTTTATAAATTTGAACCCAATTAAAGATTACATAAATCTAAATTTAGTAATGTCAATTTTCAAATGACTTTTATAAATTTGAAACCCACACTTAAGACTTATTGTTCTTATATAGGAGATTGGTGAAAAAATAAATTGTCATATGTGTCTTATTTAGACCTAAAATATTTGTATACTAATGTTAATGACTTTTATCAATAGTAAATGTGTGAAGCCCTTGGTGGATAATCAAGCTAATATTAGCTACTGAAGCACAAAGAGCTTCGAACTCATAACTTTTCATATGTGAGTTCAATTCGAGTTCCTTGGTGCAAAACGACGTCGTTTTGATTTTTTTTTTATAGAAATTTCGCTTTCCTGTGTCGGCTGTTTTTTTTTTTTTAAACAAAAATCTCATGTTTTGAAAATGTACATAATTGTATAAAAGAATGTACATAATTGTATAACAAAATACACATACTATTTTTTGAAAAGATAATACACATAATCTAACATAATACATAATGCACATACACTCTTAACATAATACACATAAACTCTTAACATAATACACATAAACTCTTAACATAATACACATAAATTCCTTGT